GGTTGCCTCCTTTACTGCACTGACATTGATGAAGGTCTGTGGCACCCCTGTCACCCAATTTTTTGGTGGCATTTCCCCAACACTGTGTGTAAACTTCATGCCTACTGTAATTTTGGCAATTATTGCAATATTCCAAACTCTTTCGATATTCTATCTATAGCAGTCTGTGGATCTCTGATGTTACTACTGTGATTAGGGTGCCACAAACAGTCAGTACCCATTGGAAAAGGGGAACTTAGTTGATTGTGATGTGTGTAATCTAATAGGCTTTTGTCCCCTCTTCTCCTTGAGCCTTCCTATTTTGCAGGACTTCAGAATATTGAAATTGGGTTAATTAATAACCCATAGTGGCCTCCCAATGTTCAAGTGAAAGAAAGAGCTATTTCTGTAATTTTAAAAAGTTAGAAAATGATTAAGCTTAGTGAGGCAACACAGGCTAAAAGGGGATTCTCTTCTACTAGATATCTAAGCCACACACAGAGGGAAAGTCCTGGAAGAAGTTCAGTGTACTACTCCACTAATGCAGGAACTACAGGAAAGTGACAGCCTACTACTGCCATGGAGGATCCAACCAGTCACAACATCCCACAAGACAAAGTCTAGCCCAAAGCAAGATTCGTGTCTTTTCAACTCCATGAAAGCCGCAAATGTCCAACATCAGCAGAGGGCTGTTCCTGGGTTTGAGTTTGAGGAAAGAAACCACCACTGTATTACAAAAGGACAAGGAGGTGTGAGGGCTCTGGTGCACGGGCTGCAGCAGGCGCTCAGTCTAGCAAGGACAACTGACGAAGGGTAACAACAGCAGACTCTCAGGCAGTAGAAGAGGACATTGAGGACTTTCACAGCTAGGGAGAATGCAGTGTCCAGGATCAAAGCTTTGAAGGCCAGGTTGCCTCTCCTGTTAAGGACTGATACAGCCATGTGTGACTTTAAGGAGAAGCCAGTGCTCACTCTGAAAATCCTAGAGCCTCTGAGAACCACAGTAGAGGTTCTACAAACTCACTCTATTCTGCCTGCGTTGTATACATGAAACACACAGCCTCGACAACAGCACATCTGTTTACAAGCCAGTTTGTGAACATTGTAAGCCCACTCTAAGGCTTACTGCTTAGACAGATTCCTTTCAAAATAACAGTCTCACTGGCAATGTACCTAGTCACCCAAGAGCTCTGGTGGAGTTCTACAATGTTGTTTTCATGCCTGCTAACACAATGTCGATTCTACAGCCCATGGGTCAAGGAGTAATTGTGACTTTCAACTCTTATTATTTGAGAAGTACATTTTATAAGGCAATAGCTGCCTTAAATTGAAAACCTTTTGGAAAGGATTCAATATTCTAGATGCTCAAATTCAAGACATATATAGAGAAGGCCAAACATCAACACGAACAGGAAGTTAATCCTAACCTTCACAGACAATTCTGGGGTTCAAGATTGTAGTGGAGTCAACCAAGGTGGTGGAAGCAGTAGGTATGAGAGTCAGAAGTAGAGTGTGGATTTGTGGCAGCACTGTACTCACACCATGACAGCTCCAATCAGGGAGGGCTGTCCCCTATGATGAGAAAAGTAAACTTTTTTTTTTTTTGAGATGGAATCTTATCAAGAGAATATTATAGATTCATTCTGGTTTTTCAAAGAAGCCCTTTCATGGGAAAGGTGTCACCAAACTACATCACATGCTACAGGGAAGTCCCTCATGAAAGGAGTATGACTGATGATGCAGTCACTTCCGTTTTCAGCAGCCACCAATCTGACCAGTCAATAGCCACTGGTATCAGAGCAAGGTCCTCAACTAGCTGCAACATTACCACTTGCTGAAGGTTTTTAAACTGAAATATGTACATTTTAGGACACCACGGTGTTACTGTAGCTGGAGACTGCAGCACAGTGTATACATGACTCTAAATGTACCAGGGAGAGCAAGTCATGGACCTGGACTTATTGTATGTCTTGCTTAACTGTGGTGGTCTGGAACCAAAGCCCACGGTGTCTTTATGGTGCTCCTGGTGTCATCAGCTTTCAAGCTCTGTAAACTCCTCCTCTCCTCTCTCAGAACCACAGTGTAATGTGGCTTCAGTAAGGGAGACACCTGAGGCTCTCTAGTGGGGGTGGGTGAGAAGACTCCCAATGCAGAGAGAGGCCATTGCTAGTATAACTCCACTGCCTTCGTTCCTACGTCAAAGAGAGAGAGAGAGAAAGGCCATGGGTCAACATAGTCTGTCACGCTTTCATCTCTGAAGCAAAGCCTCAATGCCTGCTCCAAATACACCAGAGACTGAGCTCTGTGTGGTACAGGCTTTGATTCTTTTCATCTTTATATACAAACACCATGAAGAGCAAAGTAGCTGGCACTTGACTTTGTTGTTGTTTGCTTGCTTCCTTGTTTTGTGTGGTTGTTTGTTTGTTTTGATAGTATGAGAGATGGAACCCGAGTCCTGTACATGCCGGGCCAGAGCTCCACCACTGAACTACATCCCTAGTGCTCACTAACATATTTTCAGGAAGTGAATAAGGTTATAGCGAGCTATGAGAACACTGTGCACACAGGCTTAGTAATCCTGTGAACCAGTAACTGCTTGTCTCCAATGTTAGCCCACCTAGAGAAGCTCAGTGGAAGCTCTGCAGAAGGAAATTCTGAGAATAGAATCTAGTGTGGAGCGTCCCTGTTAACTGGGCTAATCTGGAGGACTGCTATGCCAGATGGCCTGCCAACTAAACTAGCAATGACTGGATTCCTATATTCTAGCACAGAGAGGATGCCAGGACATACTACTAGTAAGAAGGCCTTTAACTTAGAACTTCTGTGCTATTCAAATCAAACTATGAAACACCATCCACATGCAAGTGCAAGACATGAAAAGATGCCCAAAACCTAGAAAAGACTAGGTTAAAACACAGTTTGTTTTAAAGTTCTGTTAGTATATAAACAGAAAATATCTAGAGGCACATAATAGAAAATATTAATAGTAATTAACTACTGGTGGTGATACTAGGTTAAAATTATAGAAAATGCATAGGTTATGGAAAGCGTGTCTTGTACAATTTATATTTCTGTGATGTTTGTGTTTTTATGATTACATGTATTATCTGTATAATCAGAAAAAGAAATGGGAAAGTACAATGGGAATGAAAGCAGCTTTTTCTTATTTACCAGAGGTGAAAGGGAAGTGATGGAAAGTGACAGTGTGACCACTTCTTGAGGTGCACTGAGGCCCCAAGTACTTCTTATTTTGCAGGTTTTAAAAAAATGTCCTTACTTTAAATGCATTGGTGTTTTGCCTTGAGTGTCTGGTTCCTGGAATTATAGACAGTTGTAAGCTGCCATATGGGTGCCAGAAATTGAACTTGAGTCCTCTGAAAGCGCAGTCAGTGCCCCTGCCCCAGCACTTCTCAGGGTCAACATGACTCTGGAGGACTTGTCCCTGCACTTGAGCATACGACTTTCCATATCTGGGCACCGAAACACTGCTGCCAAACAGTCTAAAACTTCTGATCTATAGTTGGTGTTAATTGATTTCAGAATGTTGTCAGAGTACTTCCTGGTGTTTGGGCAGCCTCTGCAGGAATGGCGATGAGCTGTCTTGTGTGTTTCCTGAGAACAAGGTTTTGTAATTCAACTCTGATGCACGGATGAATCCAAGGTCTGGGAGTATATGTACAAGGTTCCTCTGCCCAAGAAGAGCAAGCCACATTCTCAGGGGCTAGCCTCTCTGAATCATGGTTGGACACCCCTCAGGAGGAAGACTGAGAATCATCACACACTATTTTCAGATGAATGGGAAATCAAGTCAGAGCAATTAGAAACAGACCAGGGTCATAACTTTTTGAAGTAGGTACATAATTGAAAATATTAATAGCAAGTACTGAAGGTAAATTTTTGTTAAAATTTCAGAAAATGAGTAAGTTAGGGGGACAGCATCTTTTACAATTTATATTTTTGTGATGTTAGAATTTCTTAAAATCACACATATTATCTGTATGATCAGAAAAAGAAATTGAAAAATAAGGTAAAAATGAAAAAAAAAAAAAAAAAAAACACTCTTCCCTTCCTAAATAAAAGCGAGGCTTAGTGATGGAAAGTGGTGCCGTGCAGAGACTTCAAGGGGCATGGAGCTCTGCAGTTGAGTAGGGTGGCCCTGGCTCAGACCGGCTCCAAGTCATGGGAACAGTGACTGCCTAGAGACCCCTTTCTCTAATGCTGCGGTTGTACTTTGAAGGGTTCTATGGAGGATACTAGCTTTGCTCTAGTCTCACTTATGAGAAAAATCTGACTTTAGAAAATGTAAATGTAGGGCTTCAATATGTGAACAAAAATGTCTGCTGCATCCAGTCTACAGTATAAAGTACTTTATACTAGAGTATAAAGTTAAAATTTGTTTGGTCATACATTATCTGTGATGATACATTATCTTCACCGTCTACTCTGTGGCTTCCCAGCCCTCTCTTCTCTGAGGGAAGCACCACTGACTAAAGTCATGTTGCATAAATAAAGCCCATTGTGTTAAAAATATGCTAAAACCTCATTTAAAAAGTTTCAAGATATTGAAGACAATCTCTGCCCTAGAGAAAAGTGAGAGGTAGAACACAGAGTTCCTGAAATTAAGTTCCTTTCCCTGCTCTGTTTACTGCTCCTGACTTACTTCCATAGTCAGATCCACACCTGAGTTCTTAGTGAGTGAATCTAACATGGTGTTTTCTGTTTCTGGTGTGGGACATGGGATGAGGCAGGGATCCTAGCTGTGAATTTCTGCATCATAACCAGCAGAGGGAGCTCACTCACACAAGACTTTGAAGTCAGCTACCTCGGGAACACAATTCAACTTTCTTCAGGAAAAACAGCTCTTTGGATGTGAACAAATTATTATACAATAAAGCAACAGGACGCTGATTTGGTGCTGAGATGAAGAGCCCTCAACAAGGCATATTTAGAAAGCATCTAAAAGCCACTATTTCAAGGTCAAGGATACTGACACAACAGGTACGTACATGCTCTGCCCATACCTGCTTCTCAAGGCTTGGTTTGCTAAGCTGTACAGTCTGAGGTCCAGCAAGTCTGGTCCCTGGAGTAGCTATGACAATGCTGGTGAGCTGGGCCATGGGGAACGTTTTGGCTATGGTTGCAGTCTGCCCATTGACGACACGGACAGGGTGGATGGAATTCTGGGATGTGGGGAGGGTTGTAGGTGTAAACTTGGTCAGCATGACAGGCCTCTGGATAAGTTGAGGAGCTGCAAGCATGGGAGGAGGCGCTGGAGCAATGGGAATGTTATTCTGGGCCACAGGCTTGGGTCGGACCTATGAGAGAGAGAGAATAATATTGTATTACTGGAGGTAGCTAACTCTTATAGCATTTCCAAGCAGACTGGCACCAAATGTGGCTCATGACAACCTTCTAAGTCTGAGCATTTAGCTTAACTTAAAAATGATCCTGTGATGACTGCTACTGAGACAGTGGTAAGAACTACGTTTAACATTAACCCATGAATATATATTCCTAAAACATAAAGGCTTCATGAAATCTACACCACATTAATTTCACTGCCTAAAAACATGGACCAACACTTTCATTCCTTACTGGAAATATTTCATAGGGCTACTGTGAGAATGAAAATACCCCACATAAAGTGCCTGGGCCCCAGTGGGATTCACATTGCTTCTGATGATGTCTTGACTGCCCTTCCTATCCAGTCTCTTATCTACACAGCAGAAAGATGGACTTTCTAAAACTTTAAGTGTGGTCATGTCACATACTTGCCTGAAGATACTTCCACGGCTGCTAGAATACAGCCTATTTCTCTGCACAGGGGCAAGAACCCCAGGTTCTTCCCTAGTGCACTTTTCCAGGCTCTTCTCTAAGTCTAGCTGGGTCAGCTTCATGGTCTCTGCACAGCCACAGCAATCCCCTCGATTCCTTGAACACACACATGTGTCCCCATTCCACACAGGCAGCTTACACTGTACTCTCAGCCTGGGACAGTTTTTTTAATTCCGTCTTCAAAATTTTATCAGACAGACTTTACTGGGACTTTAGGCCTCACATTGAACTTAGATTCTTCAAGGAAATTATGACTGCATTTTATCAGTCCAGAGTGGTCAGTTTCCCTTCTACGTGCTCAGCCTGCCATACTTCTGTTATGGACACCGTAATTCCCTATAGACAACTGTGATGCTGCTCTTAGACGGCCAAGAACCGTGTCTTAAAAATCAGCATATCCAGGGCACAAACGTTTAGTAACATGTTTGCTACCCACAGTGCTTATTAAAGATCTATCTGGAAAGTAACAGGATGGCCTTCTCTTATGCTAGCACTGTACGACCCCTCACAGGCAGACTTCTTTCCCTTCTCTGTCTGAAGGCTACACCTCAGAGTAACTCTTTTTTTTTTCTTTAAATTATTTAACTTTATTTTGTATGTGTTGGTGTGAAGGTGTCATATCTCCTGGAACTGGAGTTACAGACAGTTGTGGGCTGCCATGTGGGTGCTGGGAATTGAACCAGGGTCTTCTGGAAGAGCAGCCAGTGCTCCTAACTCCTGAGCAATTTCTCCAGCCCCAGAGAATAATCTTGGCCTTTCTGTTGGAAGTATTGCTTGGAGTCTGCCAGGGTCAGTATAGTGTTGAGACAACTGTCAGGGGGTATGTATTGCTTAGGCCAAGGAAGAAAAGCCTGATGCAGACCCCTACTCCTACTCCAACATCTATAAGCAAAGTTTCACACTGGCTTGTTTGGCTGTTCATTTTGTCCTACTCCTTTTAGCAAAGGGAAAATACGTGAGAAATGGTACATATCTCCCACTGCCAGGGCAGTTTTGACTTATCTCCCCCCCCCCCAAATTAGTAGTACAATGATGCTTCCAATGGCATTGTCTTGGATGCTGTAAAGTTGGGTACTTTTGCTTCACTTGCACTACATGGGCAGGGCCATGAGGACTGCAGGCCACTTACCACCCTCCCCCACTGGATTTCTTACCAGCTCACTCACCTGTGGAAGAAAGTTTGGACGTGGAGTGAGTCTAGGAGGAGGGATAAACTGTGGTACTTTGATGGGCTGAGGAGGTGTTGCTTGGACCTGCTTAAAACAAGCAAACAAACAAAACAGGAAAGATAAATAAGCCTGAGAGGGTAGTCATTCAACAGAACACAGGTGTCTGCTCTCCACATCACAGTATTCCCACCAGCTCTTGCCATGCAGTTTACCATGTGAATTTACACTGCTTTAGAAATTATGCTTTCCCACCTGCACACTGTCCCATAAAGTGATCGACCACAGCCTGTCTCCTCACATACCTTATGCACAACCAAGTAGGCTCAGCAATCTTGAACAATTTTCTCTGACACTCATGAACTCTCTTAGACATTTGAAGAGTCAAAACTAGATCCAAAGTTAAAATCAAACTTGCTACCTGTCTGAATGGATTCCAACCCCCCACCTCCAAAGGTTCAAGGTTTACCCAACAGAAAATGGATGAATAGCTTTCTTCCTACAGAGAACTTTTGAACCCTAGGTTCTGGCTGAGTGATAGGGCTACATCTCTAAGGACTCCTGAGTAAGTGACAAAGCTTCACTTTGTTGCTACTTTTACTCATTATTGATCATTACTCAAAAAGTCACCAAGAGCTTTGTCATCTAAAGAAGATAACTGAGTATCACAGTTTGGACCTGGTTCTCATACACTTCCAAGAACAACAGTGTCTAAACGGTTAGATCCTGGAAATTGCATGGACAATCTTCTTCAAGTATTCCCTCCAGGGGATCCTCCCTCTGTAGGACCTGGCTTTTGGCACATTAATCTCTAAACTTCTTTAATATTTTTAAAGTGTACCCCAACCAACTCTAAGTACTTCCTGGCTGCATTCAATAATGAACTGAAGAAAAGTAGCAGGGGTTTTCCTCAAGACAGAATACAACACAGGGCATTTCAGCACTCTGAATTCATGGGGGTGGAAGAGGGGCAGTGGACAGAATGGAGGGAGAGAGGAGTGAAGCAGCCTGTGTCTTTGTGAAGGACATTTTCCTTCCAAAAACAAGTCCTACTTTGACCTTGGGCAGTGTACTAAATCTGGCCCCCTGGTGTCTGGACAGCTCTGTAGTTAACTGACAGCCCCACAGAAGAGTTTGCTTTGCTAGGAGAATGATAGGAGCTGAGAAACCCAGAAGGGACCTAAAAACGGAAACACTCTACAATGCACAATCTGAACCCTCTCATGTGAACACATGAGTAGCAGCTACTGGCTTACCAGAGTGACTGTGTTTTTTGCCACAATTTGGACAGCCTCTGCCCCAGGCCCAGTGACCTTACTAGACGTCTGGAGGTTGACTGGTGTGCTCTGCACATCAGTGCTGAGCACAGCTTTCTGACTGTTGATGGCGGTCACCATAGCAATGGTAGGTCTCTGGCCCACAACAGAGGCAGGCATGGTCGCAGTTGCTGCTTTCAAGACGAGAGGTAGTGTCTTTGTGGTAATCATAGAAGCTGTAGTTACAGTCTTCTAGGAGACACGGAGAACAGACATTAGGACACTGAAATGTGACCCCATTGAACGATATGCTTCTGAACTCCCAAAGGAAACAACGCATCCCAAGTTTGTCTATAAAATGAACAATTGTGATGTTGAATATGCTTTTACTACAGAGGGAGACAAGCTCTAGTTTCTCAAGTTAGGGAACGTTCATTTCACTGCAGTGAATGCACACCCATACAAACGTGGGGTTTTAAGCAATGAACAGTGAACATCTACAGGTATAGAACATGAGTGCATTAATGCTTCTGGGTTTTCTAACTCTGCATAAAATCAGTTAACTCATACATAAGTTGGACATTGTCTCTATCCCCGATTGCTATAACCACCAATCTGGCTACTGGCCACCTGTGACACAAAGGAAGGGCAGTGTCTTTTCATCTTTCTGATGGGGAAGTAGAAGGGAACCGCACAGGAGGATCAGCTTAACTGCTGCCTCAGAGGTATTGAACCTCAAGCTCCAGTAATGACGCTGTTAATGAGTATAGAAAACACCAATTCTCTTTCCAAAGGGGGCTGTGCCACCACCTAGTCTTTCTTCTGGAGAACTGATGTGGAAGTGATCAAAGAGTCAGGGAAACCGACAAGGCGGGAACAAACACCTGGGTTTCAAAAGCCTTGGAAACCAGAGGAGGAGTTTCAGTGAGGACTGATGCTTCCAGGCTCTTTCCCAAGCATTAAGGCTGCATTTGCCTAACTTTTTACTTGAACAATCACAAATGCCTGTTACAGAAGCCACCTCCTTTTATGGTACACACATCTACCTGGCACCACTACTAGTCACTCAGTATATAGACCTTTCAGGAACACAAACAAACATTCATCTCCAATTCACTGGTTCTGATGTTTTTCCACTTTAACGTTCCCTTCTAAAATATACTCTACAGCTTGGCAGCCACTAGCTACACCTAACTTTTTATAAACTTTAATTAAAAAATTAAAAGGTCAGTCCTGCACTTGTACTCATCACATTTTTCTAAGCCACATGTGGCAAAGAATTAACAGCTGGACTGCAGGAGTTTCACTGGCAGCCCTTTCTTCTCTACACATCTGGAAAACCTCCCTGAAGAAGTTTAATCTCCATGCCATGTGAGAGCCATGTACCCAGCTACTAAGTGTGTGTAATTACTTACCTTTTCTACCTGACATGTGCATCCACATAACATACATATTCATCTTTTAAAATCTCCTTTTAACAACAACATAATAGTGTGGCCTCATCCATCTACCACAATTTAACTAGCAATCCAGTGTCTGTAATTAAAATCCCCCAAACTTTGCTTTAGTTTCCAAGGCACAACATGGGCAGCTCATGTCACCTGCTGCTGCCTTCTCAAGTGTGAAATGGTGCCTGGGCAGCAGCAGGTCAGAGATGAAAGCCAGGCAACAGCTAAATGGCATTTCATCACTGGAAGTGCTATGGTATGTAGCAACATAGGCTCTCTCACAAAGCCAGTTGAAGAAAGAGTTTTAAACATAGTATTTAATAGTAGCTGATTTCATTGAATACATTTTTGCTTCTATGCAATTCTATATAACACATAGGACAAAGAAAAAGTACAAATGTCTCGGCAAAAGCTCCTTAAAGATAATATTCACAGCTTAGTTAAGGTTCGCACTTCTGGTCAGCCATTCACTCTATTCCAAATTTAAGGAACATGAAGCAAACTCTTGGAGTGTTGGGGTTTAGATGAGAAGGGGAACTCTGACATACAAGCACACTGAAAATGTCTGAGTTGTCCAAATAGGAAGAAGAAAAGATGCAGAAAGGACGGGTATTGGAATCAAGCACAATGATTTCAGTAGGGAAGTTGTTAATGCTGCTCAAGTCTGATGAACTTTAAGAGAAGGAAGCAGGTATTAACAGTTCCATTCAGTTCTTAATTGTGAACTCTCATAATTAGAAGTTCACGCAGACATATATTCAGTAACACTATTGGCAACGTCCTTTTTGTTCTACTTTAATTAAAACTTTTTAAAGATTTATTTTATTTTATGTGTATGAGTGTTTTACCTGCATGTATATATGGGCCCCAAGTGGGTTTGAGCACTTGCAGAAGTCAGAAGAGGAAATAGAGTTACAGATGACTGTGAACTGTCATATTAGTTCCAGGAACTAAACACAGGTCCTCTGCAAAAGCTATGGTGCTCTAAACTGTCAAGCATCTCTTCAGCTCCTAAAAAAATTTTTTTGGGTGGGGGGGATGGGACTGGACAAAGTCTTACTTGGTAGCCTAAGCTTGTGGTAATCACCCTCTCTCAGTCTCCTGAACACTGGGATTACATGTGTGAACCACAAAGCCTGGCTAAATACCTTTGTACTGTTTGCTAAGTTTTTATTGTTAGCCTGTAAGATATGAGGCATTTTAATTTATAAACATATGATCCAATGTACAAATAAGAACTTCAAGGGATATCTCTATGGGCTCTAATTAACCTCCACATCTATTTTATTGTCTGCTTAATTTTAAGTAGGAAGTCACCATTATACACTTAATCGCAAATAGAACTTGCCCCCCTCCCGTTTATAAGGTTATTTTTTGTATTTAGTTTTTAATAACTACATTCCTCTTTTTATGTGCATTTAATCATTAAAAATGAGAGTGTTGCTTCTCTCCCCCCCAGTAGTCTGTAGCTCTCCATCTAGGGATATGACCTTGACAGCTTGATGCTGGTATTACTCAGGTCTTGTTTTGACAACCAGTGCTGAGATTTCATGGATACAGCTTCCCTGTAATGTCTAGAAGACACAGCAAGGCCCCTCAGCTTAGGCAACTTCCCCACATAGCACCTTCTTGATGCCCACTCTTATCAAGAACAGAAGTTATTCCTTTCAACTTTCAGAAGTCACATATCTAATATATGCCATACTTAAATCTGTTCTTATGAGCCTTTGGTTACTTTATATGAATATCAAATGCCCAAGTCTTACCATGCATTAGAGGCAGCCCCTTCTTGCCTTTCCTGGCCTTTTATCACCCCTATCATTTCACATTCTACATAACCTACTCGCTATTTCAAAGGTGGTGTAGCTTGAATGAGAATGTACCCCATAAAATCAAATTTGAATGCTTGGTTTCCAGTTGGTGGACTGCTTAGGAAGGATTAGAAGGTGTGGCCTTGGGGTTAGGGTGGGGACACAGGGTGGGACAGGCTTTGAAGTTTAAAAAGTCCAAACTGGGCCCAACCTAACTCCCTTTCTGCCTCTTGCTTGGTGATCAGGACGTAAGCTCTCAACTACTGTTTCCACATCATTCCAGCTGGCCAGCATTCACATCTCCACCATAATGACCATCCATTAACTCTATGAAACTGCCTCTAACTAAAGGATTTCTTCTATAACTAAGACAAAAGGCATGTCTGTCTGTCTGTCTGTCTTCCTTCCTTCCTTTCTTTCTTTTCCTGTTTACTTCAGTTGTTTTGAGACAGACTGACTATGGAGCCCAGTCTGGTCTTGAATTCTCAACCCTCCTGACTCATCCTGAATCCTGAGACTACAGCACTACACCTGGCTATACATTTTCTTTTCTAAAGAAAGATTTTATTCTACTATTTTTGTTGTTGTTACTTTTTGAAATAGGGTTTTTCCGTGTAACCCTGGTCATTCTGGAACTTGTTCTATAGATCAGGCTGGCTTCAAACTCAGAGATTCTCCTGCAGCTGTCTCCTGAGTGCTAGGATTAAAGGCATGTGCCACTACTGTCCAGCTTAACTATTATTTTAAATTTTGTGTACATGTGTGTGTTTGAGTGGGAGTTTGTATATATAAGTACAGTGCCTGGGAAGGTCAGAAGAGGGTATCAGGTACCCTGTAACTGGAGTTATAGGCAGCTATGAGCTATTTAACATAGGAGCTAAGAAATTAAACTTTAGTCTTCTGTAAGGCTCTTAACCTCTTAGCACCAAAGCCCATCTCTCCAGCCCCTTCCAGCACTATCCTGCCTCTCCTTTAAAACACTTTTGTGTGCGTGCACGCGTGCGCATGCCCGCGTGCGTACATGCATGTGTTTTAGAATGTACATGTGAGTGTAGGTGTTTGTGGAGGTCAGAAGATGCTAATGAATCACCTGGAGCTAGAAGTACAGGTGGCTGTGAGCTGCTGGACAACGGTGCTAGTTATTGAACTCTGGACCTTTGCAGAGCAATGCATACTTTTAGCCATGAGATCTTCAACAGATCCCAAATTTATTTTTTGTAAACTCTGTATTTTTTAATTGTCTTACTCTCTACATCTGCAATGCTCTTTACCACAAAAATCCCATTCATTGGTCAAGACCCTGTCTAACGGCACCTCTTTTAAGAAGCACTTCTGATTCCTCTAATGAAAATTACCTTTTCTCTGGTATTTTCACATTCCTTCACTGGTACTTTGAGTCTAGTCTCATTTCCTAGCTCAGTGCTTACACAGTGTGGACTCAATAAATATTTACAAAATGAATGAAAATGAATTACCATAATATGCCAGATTCTTGGCAGGGACTGTTGCTCTTTGTATACCATCTAGCACACAGAGAGCAGTCAATAAACACTGAATGAAGCTTACTGCAAAGACAAACAACAGAAACCTAGCAAGCCTTTGGGTTTTAGTATTAAGCCTTTGCATTAAACAAAACAAAACAATATAAAGTCAAGGTTAACTAAATCAATTAAATAGATCAGATGTGCTACCAGATGGAGAGAGGCTATGCAACACTGTTCTGGAGGCAGTGCTAGGCCCTGCTGTCCACCACCCCAATACAGAACTCAGGTGAACAGAGAAGCTACTAATTAGGTATTTGTTTATAAGTCTTTCTTAATTTGTGTAACACAGAATATTACCTGAACAGAAAACTCCATGTATTAAAACAGTAAATTCCCATGTATCATGAAACAACAATTCTACCCCAGGAAAAATAAACTCATAAGCAATCTTTGAGAAGTTATAAAAGTTCAGGGGGCCTTAAAAAGCGAGGGAGAAGGAGGGAGGGAGGCACACAGCTGGCCTGGACAGCTCACAGCTAGTTGTAACTCCAGTGGAGATTCAATGACCTATTCTGGCCTCTGCAGGCACTGCATGCATGTGGTATGTACCCACACAGCCAGATAAATATTCTCATATGCAGAGGCAGGATGATCTCTGCGTTTGAGGTTAGCATGGTCTACACAGTGAGTTCCAGGTCAGCTGGAACAACACAGTAAGACCCTGTTGGAGGGGGAAAAAAAAGTATTAATTATAGATAGTACTGAGTGATTAGTGTGAAGGTGCTTGATGAAGCAGGAACTTAATTTTTTTTTAGATTTATTTACTTCATTATTTTAAGTGTATGAGTGTTTGAATGCATGTATTGTACACCACATGTTTGCCTGGTACCCTTAGAAGTCAGAAGAGGGTGTTGAATGAATGCCCTGAGAATGGAGTTTCAGACAGATGTGAGATGCCACATGGATGCTGGGAATCAAACTCTGGTCCTTTGTAAGAGCAACAAATGCTCCTAACTCCTGAATCAACTCACATTCTTCTTCCTAGGTTTCATACTGTACTGGCATCCCTTTCTTGGTATTGTCTGGAAGCACAGAAAAGTAGTTGAATAGACAGAATTTCCACTCAGAGCCTCTGGGTTCAATTTTGGCTCTATTGCATACTACCTGTTATATATGTCTTAAATCTTCCCTTCTATAAATCTAAATTATAGATTAAAGTGAAGAGAGTTTCCACTACACATGCAAAATCCTGAGTAGTATGGTGGTATTTAGTAGCCTCTATCAAATTCTAGGTACTGTTAGTTTTTTAAATAGTTGATTCAATTTTTCACGTTAAAATTTTATACTTGGCTAGGTGGTAGTGGCATACACCTTTAATCCCAGCACTTGGGAGGCAGAGAAAGGCAGGACAGACAGCTCTCTGTGAGTTTGAGGCCAGCCTGGTCTACAAAGCTAGTTTCCTGTTACACAGAGAAACCCTGCCTTGATTAAAAAAAAAAAAAAAAAAAAAAAAAAAAAGTTGTACATGAAGTAATCCTAGATCTACAAATAATAATTACATTTCCTCTACACACACAGTGAAGATTCAGTATTAGTGTTTCAGAAGACCCAAAATACTCTGAAATATGTAAAGTAAGTGTACTGAGCATTAATATACATTGTTCTAGGGAAGGATACATAGCTTTTAATAGTCCTAAAGGGCTTTGTGATATACCCTACCCAAGGATCAACACCTAGTGTTCGCTAATGTTAATTATTATTTTTGTGATACTGGGTATGGTAGTTTGAATGTAATTGCCTCCCTCCTCAAGCTCATAGAGAGTGGCACTATTAGGAGGTGTGGCGTGTCACTGTGGAGGTGGGCTTTGAGGTCTTACCTATGCTCAAGCTTTGCTCAGTGTGACACTAAGACTACTTCCTGTTGCCTGTGGGATCAAGATGTAGCTCCTTCACCATTCTCAGGTCCTCAAGCGTCATGTCTGCCACCATGTCCCACCATGATGATAATGAAGTAAACCCCTGAAACTATAAGCCACTGCATTTTTTTTTTTTTTGGAGACAGGGTTTCTCTGTATTGCTTTGAAGCCTGTCCTGGAACTCGCTCTGTAGACCAGGCTGGCCTTGAACTCACAGAGATCGGCCTGCCTCTGTCTGGGATTAAAGGCGTGCACCACCAATGCCCAGCATGCCACTGCAATTAAATGTTTTCCTTTATAAGGGTTGCCATGGTCATGGTGTCTCTTCACAGCAATAGAAACCTGACCTAAGACACTGGGGATGGAATATAGGATCTGACATATGCTGGACATGTTCTCTATTACTGAGCTACAGCCCCAACATATTAGAATATTTTTCTTCTTCTTGTTGTTGTTTTTTAAGACACTGTTTCTTTTGTAACATCACTGACTGTCTTGGAACTCCATTTGTAGACCAGGCTGGCCTTGAACTCACAGGATCCTCCTGCCTCTGCTTCCCAGAGTGCTGGGATTAAAGGTGTTTGCCACCATATCTGGCTAGACTCCTAAAAAGAAATTATTTATTTTATGTGTATGAGTGTTTTGTCTATAGGCATATATGTGTACCCTGTGCATGGCCAGAAGAAGGCATTGATCCACTGTTACTAGAGTTATGGATGGCAGTACCACCAAGTGGGTACTGAGAGGTGAACTGGGGTCCTCTATAAGAGCAGTGAGTACTCTCAATTTTACAAGTTTCTTCATCCCCTCTTTGATTTTGGTTATTATTTATTCACATATTTGGGTATGTGTGTGTGTGTGCAGGTGTGAAACATACAGAGGTCAGAGGTCAACTTCAGGTGTCATTCTTCAGTTATCATCAACTTTGCTTTGTTTTTATTTATTCATTTAGAGTGTGTACATGAGTACCTGAGTGTGTGTATGTGCACCCTGGGTACCCTGTGCATGCAGGTGCCTGGAGAGCCAGGAGGAGGAATTATGTTTCCTGGAACTGGGCTTACAAATTGTTACATGACTCTTGATGTGGGTGCTGGGAACTGAACCCAGATCTTTTGCAAGAGCATTCATCTCTCCAGCCCTCACCTTATTTTTTTGAGACAGGATCTTTTACTGGCATCTTGAATTGATTCAGCTAGGCTGGCTGGCTAGCAAGCTCCAGGGATTCTCCTGTCTCTGCTCCCCTACCACTGATAGTAAAAACACCATGACTATGCACAGTTTTTATGTAGGTGTTGGGTATAGAACTCAGGTCCTCATGCTTATACAGAAAGCACTTTCCAACTAAGCCATCTCCCCAGGCCCATTAGTTCCTTTAAAAAGCTACATTCATAAAAAATTAAGTCTGTAGAGATCAAGCTTGAATACTTTTCTTAATCAAATGTCAATTCCAAATATGTCCTTTCAGTATATCTTGACTCTCTTCTCACATTCTGTGCTCGGTTAAATACCTTTCTAGTAAAGCATTTCCACAGCTGTGTCAGACTAGAACACTAAGGTCCAAGTATCATCTGTACCCTCATTCCAGATCTCTACCAGTGTGGAGAAGCCGCTCACACATTCTCAAGAATGGGGAACTTACAGCGAACACGTTATCTCTATGGATAATAAAAACATAACAGCCTTCTGAACGCTTCCCAAAAGCATGGATACATGAACAGCTCCATGCCAAATTGCTAAGAATTTCAGAAAAACAATCCCAGAAGGGGTCAAATCACTTTAGAACAAATACAAATAAACATACCCAGAAATCCCAAGTAAGACTTTAATTCAATTGGGGTACTAAGAGTTATTTGTCTTTGGTGTTGATCACAAGTAGAAAATCATTTAGCATGCACATATGCATGAATAGGAGTGTACATGCATGTGTATGTGTGCTGCTAGGCTTGGGCATGGTTGGCAGGTATTCTGTTGCTGAGCTCCATTCTCAAAGAAAATCAGTTAACTTTTATTAACTTTTATTTTTTTCCTCGATCTTTTTTTTTTTTTTTTTTGAGATAAGACACAGCCCAAGCTGACTTCAAACTTTAACTTCCTTGTAGTCAAATGTGACTGGCTTTCTGATCCCCTTGCCTCCACCTCAGAGTTCTGGGATCAGACATAAATCACCACACCTGGTTTTATGCTGTGCTGAGGATCAAACCCATGGTTTCATGAATGCTGGTTGCACCCTCTACCAACTGAGCCATAGTCCCAACCTAATCATTTAACTTTTGTTACCTAGAAGGCTCTATTCTTCTGCCAGTGAATTTAACTGATCCTTATGTCAGTGACAGACACTCCCCAAAACTCCAGAAAACTTGTTTAGAGTTAGTAGAACTTAGGATAGCAGAAGTTGGGTTCAGTTCTATGTGATCAGTAACTCATCAATACCCAGCACTCAGCCTTGGCTGCTGCACCCACTCGGTTACCTGTGATGCAGTCAGGCTGGGTGGTGCTGCTGACTGCTGAGCGTGCTGCTGCTGCTGCTGCTGTTGCTGCTGCTGCTGCTGCTGCAGTGGCTGTAGTGGCTGTAGTGGCTGCTGCTGTGCTGTTTGTAGTTTATTTTCAGACTGTGACAATGGCTGTATCTGGAACTTGTCCGGCTGCTCTTGCTTGACTATCAGGTTCTTCCGCAGCTGTTCAACTACTCTTTTCTACCAAACAAAAACAAAAACCTATCAGAATGTTGCTCATTCTCCAACATCTTTCCACAACTACCTTCCTCTAAGTTTTTTTTTTTTTTTTTTTTTTTTTTAAACTACATGTAAAATTTACAGATTCTAACAGGAGAGACTCAAAGAACCTTATAGATATTTTAATTAATATGCAATCACTGTTACAAGAAATGTTTTATATATAAAGGAAACTGAGGCACACAGTTAAAATGTGAAACAGAGCCCGTCCTCCCTCCCTTTCACTCTCCCTTCTTTTTTTCTCCCTCTCTTCTCTTTTCTCCCTTGCCCATATCCTTTCCTTGAGGACCTTGAACTCACTGTCCTGCTTCAGCCTCCCAAATGCTAGGATTATAGGGATGAGCCACTATAGCCAGTTTAGATTTCTTGGCTACTGTCAATTTAGCATGCAAGGTTAGAAGAGCAGAACAGCACAGCATAGAAGCATAATTCTAGAGCTACAATGTCAAAACACACTCAATTCACACACTGTTGGGCAGGTGTTTTTAACGCACCTGTCTCTTAGTGTCCTGGTCTGTAAAATGAGACTACAGAGTACCTCTTTTGAGCAACAACCCAGCTGATCTATATGGAGTACTCAGAACTGACTGGCACATTACTTAACTATACAAGCAAGCAACATGCATCTATCCCAGTTTGAACCATTAACTAGGGATCAGGACATAGCTCAGTTGTACGGCACTTGTGTAACAGTTGCAAGACCCTCAGATCAATTCATAGTAATACTTTCTCCCATTCTTATCTTTAAATAAAGAAACTGCTATATAAACAAAAAGCATTCTGAATCACTGAAATGTATAAACTGAGTAGGACTTCTTTGCTGGGACAGATTTTAGAAATATGCATAGAATCATATGTTATCTGTTTACATGGAATAGAAATTTAAAGTCAAGTCAAGCTGGACATATGTCTTTAATCTCTGTACTCGGGAGGCAGCGGCAGATGTATCTCTTTGAGTTTCAAGGCTAGCCTGGTCTACATAGTGAGTTCTAGGACAGCCAGAACTATATAGTGAGATCTTGACTCAAATAAACATACAAAAAAAGGAAGAAAGGAAGGAAGGGAGGGAGGAAGGAAGGAAATAAGAAAACTTAAAAGTCAAGGTTTATAAATTTCCTGGTCTGTGCTTTAAAAACAAAACAAAAAAAAAAAACCATATTTTTGGATTTTAGATATTTTTCTCTATTATAATAATCTATCCTTCCTTACATGACTTCCTCCTGCCCACCTTTCCTTTCTTTTTTGTTTAGGGCATGATTTTCAACATGTGGGTCAAACCCCTTTGGAGAATCAAATGACCCTTTCACAGAGGTTGGCCACTGGAAAATCCAAATATTTACATTATGATTCATAACAGTAGCAAAAATACAGTTGTGAAGTAGCAATAAAATACTTTTCTGGTTGGGGGTCACTACAATATTGCAGCATTAGGAAGGTTGAGATCCACTGGGGTAGGGGTTGACCATGTGGCTCAGGGTCCTGTCACACAATCTGGGGCAGTCTGGAATCTGACTCTCCTGTCTCAATGGCTAGCAAAAAGGAAAAAAATCATTCCTCCTCTAACACGTTAAAGTGAATTCATCAGCTGCAACTTGTTACTTCTGATAATAAAGGTTGATAGTTTCTGATACAGACTATGACTGAAGAAAATGAGGTTTAGTGTTAGTTGAGATTAGTATAGTTTTGATTAATTAACTTCTTGAGATAAGGTCTCATGTATAAGATTCTCCCAGGCTAGTCTGGAACTCACCATGTTTGGAGTTCTGGATATATGTGTCAACACCACACCTAGTTTATGCAATGTTGGGGGGCAAACCCAGGGACTTAAGTATGTTAGTCAAACAGTCTACCAACTGAACCACAACCTCTGCCTTCAGAAGAAAGCTTTGAATAAAGGGCGAATAGAATCCAGAACAGCCAGGTTAATTTGCAAATTACTAATGTTGCTCTAACTGACTTTGCTGTTCACAGTCTAAGAACCCGAACCCGCAAGCTACTTCACTTAGCATGCCGGAACAGTAAAACATTCACAAAATGGATTTTTAAAACACTCAAGTCAATATTAAATACATTCTTTTTATTTATTTGTTTGTTTATTTGTTATTTTACATGTCGATCCCAGTTGCTCCTCTCTCCCTCTTACCCTCTCTGCCCCCTCACATGCACCCCGACCACCCTCCCCTCCCATCCCCCACCCCAATTCCACATGTAGGCAATGCCATCCAGGTGGGGTCATGTAAATCTGTCAAATCATTTGAAGTAGGGACTAGGACTTCTCTCCTGTCTCTAGGTTAAGGGAGTATTCCTCCATGGAGGATGTGTCCGCAAGGTCCTTTTGTGCTCCAGGAATACATCCTGGTTCCACTGTCTGAGGTCCCTTAGACTGCTCAGTCCTTCTGGCTGAGACCCATATTCAGGGGGGCCCGAGTCAGTCCCATGCTAGATTCCCAGCTATCAGTCTGGGGGCCGTCAGCTCCTCCTTGTTCAGGTCAGCTGTCTCTATGTGTTTCTGCAACCTGGTCTTGTCTTCTCCCTCTGCATCTGGATTCTAGTTCCACTCAGCTTTAGGTATGGGTGTTTGCTTCTGTTTCCAACAGGTACTAGATGAGGGCTCCATGATGGTGGATAAGTTAGTTGTTGATCTCACTATCAGGGAAGGGCATTTATGGTAACCTTTCCATGGTTGCTCAAATTGTTGAGTTGGCGGCAGTCAGTCTTGTAGGTCTCTAGACCTTTCTTTAGGTTCAGTTTTCTCTTCAAACCAATAATGGCTCCCTCTTTCATGTTCTCTCTCTCTCTCTCTCTTCTGTCTTCTATTCCTACCCTGGCTCAATCTTGCTAGTCCCATCTGCTTTCCTCTCCTCCCCCTCCTCTTTCTCCTACTTCTCTCTCCATTCACTGCCCCCCCCCCCACTTCCCCTGAGCTCTGGGGGACTTATCCCATCCCTCTTCTGTGAGGGACTTTATATGAATCTCTTAGAATACACCTTGTATCCTAGTTCCTCTGATGGTGTGAATTATAGGCTGGTGATCCTTTGTTCTAGGTCTAAAATCCATATATGAGTGAGTACATACCATGTTCCTCTTTTTATAACTGGATTACCTCATTCAAGATTCCATTATTTTTTCTGCAGAGTAGTATTCCATTGTGTAGATGCACCACATCTTCTTTATGCATTTTTCAGTTGAGGGGCATCTAGGTTACTTCCAGGTTCTTGCTATTACAAATAATGCTGCTATGAACATAGTTGAGCACATATCTTTGTTGCATGGATGTGGATCATTTGGGTACATTCTTGAAAAATTTTTAAGTATTGTTAATGATCCTTTTGAGACAATGAAAATATCATAAAAAGGCTGATTTAGGGGAGGGCCTGACTGTATATTATACCCCCATACTAGCATGGCCTTTTTGGGTAAAAAATTTTTTAATGCAGTCCAAGGATTCTTGGAGATTACACAAGCAGAATAGGAAATTTAATAAACTATCAAATGCTTATGAAAACAACGTCTAAGTCTCCAAACTATATTTCTTGAGTATAAGAGACACTGCAATGAAAGCTCTAGCTTATGGGAGGCAGTACTGCAGGTAAGTGTGAGCATCATGCAGAGGCTTTAACACTGGGTGCCTGTCTGGACAGTCAGATGTTTAAAAATTAAATGGTTATTAGAGCTGCTTTCAGTCTTCCTCCCCACCAGATATCAAGCATGAATCACCAGAGAAAGAGACTCCTCAGGAGAGAAACCAGAAGGAAAACAGAAGGGTGATACTTGCCAAAGGGAAAGACGGGGTGGGTAAGGGTGGGACATGAAGGAAGCAGCACAGGAAACTGAGTAGTGTCCGGCAAAGAAGGAGAGGGTGTTCTCTCCTCTATAGCCATCTTTAGGAAGGTCAGTGTGTTCTCCTGATTACTGCCCACTGAAGTGAACTACAAGCAAGACACAAAGCCCAGGGCCCGCTCCCAGTGCAATGGCAAGGAACCACAGAGACAAGAGTACTCTGCAGCCAGATGGCTAGAGCAGGGTGATGGCCAATCAGAACCAGAGGCAGAATGGTAGTCAAGTGAGTCACACTGCACTCATAAGTGTTCCTCCCCAGAGCTGGTAGGGAGGGAAACCTACATCCAAATACTTATAAAGTTGCATCAGTCCTTAGGGGGAAGGGGAAAAGTCTGTGGGTTGGATGGTTCCGATCACATGAGCTGGGTAAAGTTTCCTTTAGAAGATAGCTCCAGTATTTCAAAAGCACTGCCCAGACCAGAACAGTCTGGCCCCTGTTCCTCTGCATTCACCAACTGCAATACCATAAATACATGGTTATATTTTTCTGAAAATTTTGCAAGCTCAAGGTTTGGGGAATGCTGTTGCTTCCTTTACTTAAATGTATGATTGCAGTCAGAAGCCCAAGGACAGAAAGCAGAGAGCTCTGTTGCAGAGGTGAGCCTGGGCAGAGGTGAACAGTTTTGATACTCAGACAATTGCAAAAACAATTCAGAGGACTCTGGATGTGGGTCAGCACTAAATCTGGGTAAAAGTGACAGAAGACAATGATACCATATCAGAAATCCTTATCAAGTGTGATCACACAGCATTCTCGATGCCCCACACAAAGGATACCCTTTCACTGTCCCAGGAGATGAGCCTACACTTTCACCATTGTGTTTCGGACAAAGAATCATGGGGTTTTATTTTGTTTGTTTGTTCAGTTTTGTTTTGTTTTTTTGTCTGCCATTATTGAAGGTAACATTAGTATAAACAGTAGATTTTCAATGGTGTTCACCTGTGAGAGAGATCTTTGAATGTGACTAATTATTTCAGTTCATTATCCTGAAGTTCTCAGAAAAGATTAAATATCACACATTGGCCATCTGACATCACTAAAAGGTTTTTAAAGATAATTATTAATTAATTATTAATTTTGGAGAGAGGGTCCTCTATATAGTGTTGGCTGTCCTAGAACC